AATCCATAAAGGCAATCAATTAAGCTTAAGTGTGCAATAAATCTGATTAACCAGTCAGTTCCCAAAACACCATAAAATCCATGCAGGTCTTATATGCTGGTAATGAGTTTGCAAGAAGGGAGGGGGAAGGGGCTAATAAGTGAGAGTGCTCACCCACAAACACACACACACAAACCTTGGTGCGCAAAACACAATTGTGCTTGATGCATTTTTTTTTCGGGTGATAATTTGATGTATTAGCTTTTGGGGATGAAAGATAAGCAGGGCTTAATGTATGCTAATATTAAGGTCTGCAGCTTGTAACAAAATAAAGCAAGGTCATCAGAAAACGGCGCATGTGTAATTAATAGATGAATTCATTACAAAAACAATGACTCAGTTTAGAAACACTCATTAACAAGATAAGGCATTTGAAATGGAAATACAAATGTTAACGGTAATGTGTTGACAATCAGAGCGGCTAAATTCAACCTTGAAACGTTTTTAATGCAGTCCGTGCCCATTCGATTGGGCGAATGTGCTGCCCTCTTTTCTGCCACTGCTGTATCATTCCTTATTATTCTCTGACATACTTGCTTGCTGATGCTCTCCCTCCCTCCCTTTTATCCCAGCCTTCATCTATCCTTCTCTCCCTCCCTCCCTCTTTTGCTGGCCTTTACCTGCTCGCTTGTCTCGGGGGAAATTACCACAGCTCAGAAACGCTGTCCTACTGCCTGCACTGCAACGCTCTGCTCTGCTGTGCTCTGCCTCCCTCCCTCCACGCATACAGCACACATATGGACACATGCAAATGCATACACACACACGTGCACCGCAGACACACAGTCAAATACAGGCATGCACTTAAAAGCACCAGCACATACACACAAAGACTGCATAACCCCTTTCCCACCCCAAGCAAAAACCCTTTACCAGATGCTGCTTTCTGTTTATTCTTGCTATTATGCTACCCAAAGCAGTACACGGGTACAGAGCAGTACAGAGGATTAGAGACACTTGCTGCCAGTGCTTAGACTGAATTTGTGTGTCTTCATGAACTTCATACATGCTGTATGTGGCTACAGCTAAAAAGAGCACGACTTTTGTACATCAGACCTCTTCTTACACTAATTCGCTCTTTAGTCTTAATGAAAGTTAATGAAAAGGATCCCTCCTCCTCTTCTCCTGCACTAGCATGCCTTTAGCTACTAGCAGTCTTCCTTATCTCCCAATGCAATGCTGCAGACCTTGGAGATGAGCAATGAGCAACTCAGCAGGGTTTTCCCACTCTGTGCATGTATTTAATGGATAGGCACTTCAATCAGCACTGCTAATCAGAGTGAGAAAAGCTTCCCATGAATGTTTCAGTTCAACCACAAAGCAACCCACTTGCAAATTTCGCCTTGAAGTGGCAGAACTGGAGGAGTCACTGTGCAACATTCTTCTTTTATGGGCAGTTAGGAGATGGTCTCTTCCTGTCAGAATTATCATCATGACAGCCCTTTTGCATATGTCAAGTCATGCCTTTGGAAATGTCACTTTGAGAGAAGCGACAGTAGCTCGCTGTCTGCATTTTGATTACTCACATACATAGAGTCCAGACTGATGCAGAGGATTGTGTATTCATAATCAATACCAAAATACTGACATCACCAAGTCATCAGTTACCCCACATCATACACCAAACTGTAAATCTCTTTTTCTGCATTATGTAGTGAGTGAGGTTTTAACACCGAGACCTGCTTTTGGACTTGGTAAATCCTCAGATCATGTTTAGCTAATTCCACAAAATGAAAGCTCTTGGTAGTACCTTTGAAGAGGTGCTTTGTATTTTTGAGTAAGGCAAAGAAACATAGACTGTAAGTGCTATGAATTCATTTAATGATCGCATAAATCTACATGATCTTTCATAAACTAGATTTTGATCTTAGAAGGAAAAATACAGTTCGGGATTCTGGTTATGTAATTTGTCTGATGCGCCTGCGTTTTAATAATGTGTGTGTGCGCATATTAAAGTCTCAAGTAGGAGATACTTTGTCTCGATAAGACGTAGCCAGAGAGCACGTGCATTAAATTTGCATGTTGCCTTGTAACATACAAGTGTGTATGCGTGCTTGTAACGTGAGTAAAGTGTGCGCGGTAAGCATAGGAATTTGTGGTTTGGTGTATACACATGCATACTTGGGTGAATATGCATGTGTGTGTGTGTGTGTGTGTGTGTGTGCGCGTGTGGCAGACTCTGGCAGCAGGCTTGAAATTAAAACCTTATGCGGAACAGAGCTCGTGATTGAACTGGAATTAAAACAAAAGGCAGAAGAGCACGGAGTAAAAAAAAAAAAAGAAACGGGGAGAGGAGAAGGAGATGGCGAGAGCAGCAGGAGGAGGAGAGGTGTATTGTCTAAGAAGAGAAGAAGTGAGCGATTGCCACCACTGCAGTACTACAGCTCGTCTGGGTTGTTTCTTATCAGAATGTCAGGCAGACCTTTCCCATTGACTCGCTTCTGTCAGCAGTCTTCTTAAATGTGAAAGCAATTAGGGAAATTGGCGAAGTCAAAGAAACATCTCAAAGACACCTAAAAGAATAGCTGTGATGAGTTGGAGAGCGCATGTGGAACAGGGAGGGATGAGCGCACACTCACATAAAATACATGTGAATGTCTGCACTCAAGGAGAGACACACTCCCTGTCTTTTTTTTTCTTAATGCACATACACCTGAGTAGCTCTTGCCTTTGATGGCTGAGATCATGTCGAACCACAGTTTTCGTCTCAAGTCTGACCTGTCCTTTGTGCTGCATGCATTTCTGTGTCTCTTTGATATCTCCTAAGTAATGCACTTTAGTTTTCTTGACCTAATAAATCACTGAATTGACGCTTCAAGTAAGCGTATTATATTAATTCAGGGACAAAATGATTACTAGGAACACAGCTTATTCAAATGGCACACATTACAAGCGAATTCCTGCATTTTCCCTTTTAATAGCCTGCACTACACTTGCCTTAAGGCGTTTCTGAAGGCATTCCCCTCTGCTCTCACCTCTCTTAACCCCTGAGCATGGAGCATCTGCTTTCTCCATTCAGTTGGAGCTTGCTGATTTAATAGCTCTGGGCATATTGCCTTGAAAAGGAGGAAGAAAAAAAACTTTTGGCCAGGGCCCCTGGCTTTCTCATTAGTAGTCTCTCCCTGCGATGTATAGGAGCATTCTCACTGGTCAGCCCTCCTCTTTGTGGAACACAGTCTTGACCTGTTCCCACCACACATTGTCTGTGTGTGTGTGTGTGTGTGCATGGAGCGGTCATTTCCATGAGAAAGGAGTGCAGAGAATGGACAGGGGCTGCATTTTCTTTCTGTGAGATGGCTGCAGACGCGACTGAGGGTGCACAAGGGCGACCTCATCCATCATGTTGTGAATAGCCTAAAATTATCACCCAGTGTTTCTGGACATCATGTGATGAAGAGATTCTTGACAAAGGTCATCTTGGGTAAGAGCAACCCGGGGCTGGCTCTCTGACCCCAGTTTTTGGGGGGTTTATTTTCACTTGCTTAAATAAAGTTCACAGTGTAACTGCCAGTTGCTTATGGAATTTATACACATTTACCATTTTAGTTATGCATCACATAATGTATTGTACTAGATAAAATATGAAATCTTATGTAAACTATGTGGCCCTTTAAACAAAAACTATAGGTTAAAAGGAGGCTAAAATGATTACACATGGTTACTAACAAAAGTAGGTTTGCAACTATAAACATTGTCTTTGCTATTATATTGAGTAATTTGATCCATTCTTAAAATTAACTGATTGGAGCAACTTTAAGACTTAAATAGCTAATCTGCTGGGTATATAATTCAAAATGCCTATACTTTCTTCATGTATGTTCTTTCCACAGCATGACATGTCTCACATTTGTTTCTTTTTTTAAGCACACAGTGCTTGCTGCACGCTTCAGCAATTACCCTGGACATATGAGCTGGCTGCCTCTGTCCCTTTTTTGTTTTGTTTTTTTCCTGGTTGTCCGTCGCATGGTTGTATTAAAAAGGTCCATCCTCGGTGGCCAGTCGGGAGGTTTGAAGACCGGAGGAAGGCGGGGCGAGTGGGCGGGGTTAGTGTTTTGGTTGGTCGGGAGTGACGTATCCGGAGCGACTTCCTGGTCTGTCTGCTCCCTGGGAGGAGGAGACGGAGACTGCAGTGTTGTTAGTTTGAACAAAATGGCTGCGAGACCACTGTCAAGGAGAGCTCACTGAACGCCTACCATGAGTGTCCGCTCCGCCGTCTGGATCAACACAGAATGTATTTCCCCGGAGTCGCTACTCATTTTGCATTTGCGGTAGCCAGTCCGTCGCTAGTCGTCCAACCGACGACTTAAACAACAACAACAACAAAAATCTTTTGCACTTTAAAACAAGTTGGGTGGCTGGCTGACGGCCGTCGGCTTGCTCCGCGAGAAGTCATCGGCGATTTTTTTTTAACGAAAACTGCCTGATTTCTCTGGTTTGCAAAACCTTGCAACGGTCGACGACTTACGACGCCAACCAGCTAACGTTAGCTTACATAATTTAGCTGCTTTTAAAAGTCATTTTAATCGTGTTCGTATTTTTTTTGTTTTTGTTATTAGTGGTGCTTCGTCCGCTTCCCCGCCCCCTCCCCCCGTTAAATCGTGACGTTTTAACAAATTGTTTTTTGGTAAAAATAATTTCACAGCGTATGTGTTTTGGGTTTTATTTTTAATCTTTTTTCTTCTTGCTCAAAGCATAAATTACCGTACTTGCTGTGTATATATCTGGCTGAGTAGCCGTTGTTTACCTCGGTATCTTGTCACCAAGCTGCTACAGCAGCAGTCGGCTTATCTACCAAGTCTGACTTTAATTACGACTAAATCTCTGCTCCATCTCTTTACGGGTAACTTTAGAAAAGACATCGGAGAATGCTTTTATGCATTTTCCCCCCCTGCCATGCATCGACTCTTAACTGAAAGCTGCCAAAGCTGTGATTAAAGCAAGGTAAGTTTATACATTTAATTTATTTATATATATTTTTAGATTCTTGGCAAACTGATTAATAATGTTAATCAACGTTTGACAATCAAAAATTGTAGCGGCAGCCGAAAAATGAAAATCGCCGTCTTCCTCTATAATTAAGCTAAAGTATATCACTCAGCTCTAGTCTCATTGACATACAGACTAAGCCCGGTTAACAACAGCGGTAATGCCCCGGCAAACGCTCAAGTACTACATCATTAAAACGTCCATTAACAGTTTACTAAGCGTGTTTGTTTTGCCCAGATTTCTGCTCACATTGTTTATGCAGGGCATTCTTCGGCAAAGGAAAACACTGATTGAACCGAGGTATTCTTCCATGTGCCTTTAGAAGCGGGTTTGATGACTAATTTTAGTGTATTTATTTGAAGGGTCTTGAATATGTTGGGAACTTTTGTGTTATATCATAGCCCTTTTATGATTGGCTGAGTGCGCTGGAGCACACTATGTACATGTGAGTGTGTAATGTGATGGTTTCTTGGAGCCGCTGGGAGAATTGCTTTGCCTTTTCCAATGTCTGTGTGGTTATTAGAAGGTAATGGGGCGCTAATTTTATAGTTATAGTTTGATTGCAGATAGCACAGAGTTGCATTAGGACTGTAACACCTTTTTATATTTTCGTTAAATGTTTTAATTCGTGCCTATCCGATGTAGTTACACTTTTCTTAAATGTGGCAAAGTCACAGTCCCATTTGTTCCCAATTTTCGCTACGCTTCGGTCTGTGGTTCAACTGTATCACATTATGTATCTTGTACACCATTGTACATTCCACTACACTAATTCTTAGTACATTATTAAACATAGCTGTCCTGTCTCTCTTCCCTCCTTTCCTCCACACCCCTCCTTCCCAACTCGGATTGAACTGTCGCTTTCCATTGCTTCCCCCCCTCGTGCATCCTGTCCCCAGGCGCTGGAGTATAGCTTTTAATATCTCCACCGCGTGTCTTAATTGAAGTACATAATTTCCTGTTCAATTTCAAACCCCCTTTTCCTCCACCCCTCCTCTGACATCTCTGTCACCACTGTCTTATCTCTACCGTCACACATCAGTGAGGTGATGAAATGAAAAATGTGCCCAAGCTGTAGTGGCACACCGTACATTTGCAGTCAGATGGGGATGGTTTATTTTTGTGTATGATGGATATATGCACTGTCTGTGAATGTAAATATTTTTGTGGCATATTCAGCCAGTGTCTGCACATGTGCAATGCCTTTCATTTTTTTGGCCATGGGACTGTGTGACTATTTATGTCTAGCTCAATACCTTTGCCATTAAGTAATGCCCTCCAGTTGTTAATCAGGACTTGAGTGCACCCTAGACGGCCAGCTGACAGACAGGCACAAACACACAGCCCTTTTTTGCCCAGAGCTAAGGGTCCTTCAAGGCTGATGAGCATGCAGTAAGGGGATAGCTCTGAAAAGATGTTTTGGGGGGTGTCCAAAATGAGTGGAGAGAATAGGATGCTCTTCACTGTGGAACAAAAAGGAGGAGGGAGTTTAGTTTTTCTTAAATACCATGCAATTACCTTTACCATTACCAGACACAACTGTAACTAGCACTTAAACCACAGCAAGTGGTTTAAGGCACTAGGGTAAATTTTGGGATTGCACATGGACCTTAGATCACCATTGAGGGGGTCACTCCTTAGGCAGTGCATGTTATGCTGCAATGAAGGTGCAGGTTTTCTGCCAGAAGCAGTCAGGAGCACTGTGGAGTATCTGGGGGTGTAGCACTGATTTTTGCATGCCACTGTCCACCTGCCCTACTGTGATACTGAGGGAGCAGTGCAGTAGTCTCTGTGTACATGCAACTCTAGCAACTGTTGCTAATGAAAGCAGACAGAGAGAGACACTCTGGGGAGTTTTACTTCCAGCACGAAGAGAAAGTACTATACCAACAGTATCGAAACATGTATCGAAATACGCTTAATGTCATTCACCTGCAGCAGTAAATTAGGTAGTCTGCCCTGCTGGAATTAGTCAACATAAGCAAAACATTATAAGTTGAACTGCCGATGGGAAAACAGTGTTAAAGATTTGCTTGGTTCCTTTTTATTTTTAACTTTTTAAAAAAAAAAAGCTTCAATTCATTTGAACTGTATTTATGTGTGGAAAGTGGTTAGCCCACTGTCACTGTTAATGTAACAGTTGTAGTATAAAAATAACCTAAATGTATTAAATGTGCAGAAAGTCTGGCATACATATTGGTATATGTCCTATTGTCATTAAAACATTTCTGAATTAAATTAGCTCAGTCTTGTGACGTTTACCTTAGTCCCAAAATGCAAAAGGATTCAAAATGAGAAATTTCGGCTCACAGAGGCTCAGACTCAATGAATTGTATTACTTCTTTTGCCTTTTTGGCAGCATTGTAGGCAGGAAACACATTACCCATGTTGGCTCTGGATCTAACCAGGCTTTAGGCTGTTGGCATCTAGACACTGTTTTGATTAGAGTGTATTGTAACAATGCCGGGAGGACAAATCTTGGCAGCAACTCCATCTGCAGCCCCTTATCACTAAAGGGGCAGGATCATTTATTTGAAAGGAAACCCAAGGCTTGCTTATCCTTAGTTGACCCTTTGCAGACAAAACATGAACACCAGTGTAAGTTACTATCATTAGCCTTGTTTCCACTGCAGGGCCAAGTGTAAATATACTGTATCCACCATGCATTTTTCTGTACAGTGGTAAAATAGTTTATTTTCCTTGTCAGATATTTTGTTGTGGCCCTGGTGAAGCCCCCTGTAGTTGGACTTGTGTGTGGCTTCTGTTGTCAGTCCTCTCCCCCTGTCATTGACCCTATCCCAGGCTTTAGTGAGGTAGTTACTGAGCCTGTGATTATGAGGCTTTTCAAACAACTGGCACAGTCGCGATAGATAACGCGCTTAACACCGCCGCAGGGTGCTCCTCAAGTAAGGGTACATTGACAGTAGAATCAGCTGGATTGAATAGGGGGCTGCCAAAAGCCATTAACCTCTTCCTCTGCTCACTGTATTGCTATTTTAATGTCAAGGGGGGCAGGATCTAGATTTACCAAGCAATGGTGTTTGGTTTGGCCATTGTACCAAATGAGTAGTGTTTATGTGGGCACACCCCTAAAGGGGGAGTGTGTCTGTACTTTGTGTTTGCAGTTGTAATAACAGAGCACCAGAAAGTTATAAATGGTTACAGTGTCCTTCGATGGATGTAAACTAGAAAACAAAGCTTTTTAGGTTACATCCATCCATCGTGTAGACCAGGCTTTACTGTTGTTTTGGTATAAGATGGTGATCTCATGTTATGATAGATGTGATCTCCACGTCTTACACTCTCATACCCATATCTGGCATTTCTTGATTGTGAATTTGCAAAAATTGAAGATGCACTCTAAATAGGCAAGGATGAAATTAGTTTAAGTTGTGAGTAAAAGGTGGCAGTTTAAGGAATCTTCTTGTGATTAGTAGCCACACATACAAACTAAAGGGAGGTGGATGTGTAATTGTCCTCCTTATCTAACTTCTGTGCCAATTGAGGGGGCAGGGGCTTTAGGGGCCCACCAAGGGTAAGCTAGGACTGGGTGGAAGCAGGGGGATGGGGGAAGCGAAGCTGAAACCCATCGAGCTGCTGCCTGAGAGTCTTGGCAGGGGTCCAGGGGAATGTTCAATGTGCCGAGGTTTGGTTGAGGCCCCGGTCCCTCCCTCTACTTCATGTTAGCTAATTGGAGAGACGTGGACAGAAGGAGATTGGCATCAGATAGAAACTGACAGAGAATATGCAGGACAAGCAACCATATAATATTCCCATTTCCTGCTCAAAATCAACAGACATCCGTACTCATTATATAACAGGACTTGGTCCCTACAGCACTAACAAAGCTTGCAGTTATGGCAGTGTAAATCGCACTAGGATGCACTAGCTCTCCCTTCACTGGGGTCATGGCTTTGGTTGATAATCCACATCAATTCTTACGCCTGAACACAAACTTGAATACAATCAATGAACTTTATCCGTCTGCTTTTACTTTTATTGATGTATGGATGTAAAGTGGTTTTCACAGCTCAATTTGCACTTCAATATATGACAAATTATAACAATAGGAAATAAAAAATAAATCATGTTTGTTGGTGGCAAATCAGGTCCCCTTACAACACAAAAACAACAAGAACGGTATTAAAAGGTAGGAAGAATAAAAATAAACATATAAAACAAGATAATAGCTGATATGCAAATTAGCATAGTACAGTAGGCACAAACCATTGAAGGCAGCAGCTCTGTCATTTTGCAAGTATTTTTCATATTTAAATATCTTTATTAGTAGTTTTCTCAGTTTTTTTTTTCTCAACCAATAGCTGCAAGACATTTCTGAGGATTGTTATTGGCCACATAGACCTAGGGTGGGTATTTATTCTTATTAGATCAGTTAAGCCAATTTTTACTTTAAATTTAAAAAAAAAAAGGTCTAATGTTTTATTTCACTTTGATAGATGTAGGCTTTTTTTGTGTCAGAATATATGTGTATCTCATCTGCTGTCCAAACAGAAGGAGCTGTTGTGACTTTTTCTGCCTTCATTCTTTTCCTCTAGGCATTGTTCCTGCATCTCTTTGCAGGCTTGCTTCTCACTTTCAGAGACTGACTGATTGCTTATACTGCTGGCAGTCAGTAAATTGTTGATGGGACATTGTGTATCCCCATGTGCTTAAACATCAATCTTTTCTGAGTAGAACTTTGTCTTTTCAGCCTTGGGTGTGTGATCATTTGGTGGAAAGTAGGGAAATTTTGGTTAGTCCTCACTTCCTGATATACCTTCAAAGGACTCTTTGATGGTTAAGTCTCAGTTTATGACTCAGGTTAGAATAACATTTAGGTGTGGGTAAGGTAGCCAGATGTACTAGCTGACAGAGACAAGTGCCACTGGCAATGGTAGAATTGCTGGTACGCCGACAGTGCAGTCAAGCTATAGAAAGCACTCAAAAATCAACACATACACCAACACATTCAGCTTGACAGCTTCTTCTTGAATTCACTAAGCTTTAGCAGTGGCGATGGCAAGGACCAGGCTTTGCTTAGTCTTGTGTATTGTGCTGTTTTTCAGTTTAATGAGCTGCCACTGTGTTAAAGTTTCATATCTGCTTGGCAGAGGCAGCAGCCAAGACTGTGAGAGAGAATTTTCTGGAAGCAAACCTCAAAGCTGTTATTTATAGCACAACTGACTCCTAATATGTGGTTGTTTGACATTTCTTCCTCCCCAGTATTCCCCCCCGCCAAACCAAAACACTGCTCTCCAGGGGCCATCTCTTCTTTACAGGTTTTACCAACATACAATATGTATTCCACAATTCACTGAGCAAGCCTAGTCTAATAGCAATAAAGTGCACTGTATGTTTTCATAGACCATTTTGACCACCCGCTGTAAGCAAAGCCGACATGCACTGTATGCACAGGATGCTTACAAACCGAGCACTCACTGAGACTGAAGGATAGAAAACACAAGAAGATTGTTATTAGCACTTACCAACCGTGGAATTTACAGGCTTGTTTTCCCCAAGCTGTTCAGGTTGAGAAAACACAAATGCACTCCCACACACATTTGTGGAGATTAGTTGGGGTGTGTTGCAGTATTAGCAGGTATTGAGGAATTATTCCCCAGGTAAAGGCTGCCTAAAATGTTCCATGTAATAAGGCTCTGGAGAGTCTCATAGCTTCCATAATACGACAGGAATGGGTGGTTTTCTGAATGGCAGCGGTGGCAGATTTACCACAATCTGTGGTCATGAGTCTTGACTCTGTTATTCTCCCCCTGCCCCAAGAGAGGAAACTCCTCTTCCTACTCTTGTGTTTGTGGTGTTGTCTGTAGCCATTCCAAACATGATTCTCCGTGTTTTGATTGCTCTTCTTTTTTTTTTTTTTTATAGTCCCGTGTCTCCCTTTCATTGTAACGCAGAGAATAACATTAGCACAGTTATCCTCCATTTTTCCCATTCTCTACCAGCCTTGCATTATTTTTTGCCCTCAACCTTATTTTCGCTGTCTGGTTCTTTTGACACTAGTGATCAAGGTGTACGAATATTTCAGCCCCCCCCCTCCAACTCCACCCCTGTCCTCCAGTCTCTCCTTGGTCTGCCAGCCTCAATAGAGCTTCATTCAGTTTTGTTTCCAACTCCTCTCCAGTGAGGATTCTTTTGGTCTTTGCCCTTTTCCAGCAGTATTTTTTCTTTCTCTGTGTGCCCTGTCTAGTTCTCTGGCGGCTGTCGTTCTTAATTGGTATTGCTCTGCGTCTGCTTTCATCCTCCGCCTGCTCCCTTTCCTCCATCCCTCCTCCCTCTTTTCTGCATCCCTGGCGGAGGAAGACAGGCATCAGACTGTCTGGTCCCGTGTGTGTGTCTGTGCTTTTATGCATGGTTGGTGTGTGTGTTGTGAGTTTCTAACCTCTTTCCTGTATAATAGCATGTTTCTTGTCATGTCTCCTCCTCTGTAACTTATCCCCACATATAGAGATATTAAGCAGTTGTATTTAGCATAGTAAGAAAGGGGGATCCTGCTTGGATATGAAATCATGAGTTTCCAGTGGTCAGTTTGGTCAGTAGTCAGTTATAATAGTTATAATACACAATTGAGCTCTGCAGTTACAACATGGAGACACATAAAAAAATTATTTATTTTTTTATTTTTTGGGTTAAATGCACCTTTGCATTGATTTTTGTCTTTTTATCTGCAAATCTCCATATGTCATTTAACCATACCTTTTAAGGGCAAGAATATGAGCTGATTGCTGGTTATTGGCTGTGGTGTTGCAAGTCACTTTAATTTAAGAGAACCTTAAGTGACACATGCTGGCTTTGTAGGTCATTAATGTCAAAATGGGAATTGTTTCCCTAATTGCAGAGTCTTACTGCCAGAGGGGGTAAACCTGATGCTGGGGAGTGTGGCAGAGAGCGATACAGCCCAGAATCACTGCTGAAGAAGTGCTGTACTGTCAGCAGTACTGAGAAAGGGGGAGAGAGGCAGGTAATGCAATATGTAGGGTCAACAGAGGTCAGGATGGAAGCTAACTTTGACGATGACTACATAAGCTCAAAAGTCAACTGCCCGCTCTCTGATTTCACATTCACATGCTGTTAGGACATTACCCTAAATGATATTACAGAGTGTGACACATAGGAAATCAGGATAATAACTTTGTTGTTTTAATACTTGGACCTGTTTTTGTCCAACCCTCATAGTGACAGTAATACTTGCAAACAGACACTAGTGCAATCTTTTGTGTATAAAGACTATCAGGATGAGCTGTAGTAGAAGAGACTCTGTCACTAGCAAATGAAAGGAAAACAAAAATAGTTTCTGTCACCTAAAACTCCTTTGTCCATTTCTTTCCTCCAGTCGCTCCAATTTGTTCCATCGGCAAAGCTTTTCATTCACTTTTTTCCTATTCCTATTCTAGATGTTTATAGCAGTGCCGCATTTTCTATTATTTTCTTGTTAGGTGGCCAGAAAGAGACTTAATACTATACTTAATAATGGTCTCATATACGGAAGAGAATTAATAAAGAGTAAGATTACTTCACACTGTTGTCAAAATATAATTTTTTTTGTTGCACATTTATTTGAAGTGGTTTCAGTGGTCATTTTTCACAGTATCGATGCAGCATTATCAACATCACAAAGGAATAGAATATCATTAATCTATTGGTATTGTGTCAAATGTAGAAATCCCAGTATTGAAATTTCTAACTTTCCCACTCCTATCCACAGTGCACATATTCCAGACCGTTATCTGTATGCACACTGGATCACACAATCACATCCGCACATAATGGAACCCCTATTTATTCCCCGAGGGCAGCGTTCAGTGGGGCTGTTTGATATAACGATATATATCGGATGACGATATAAAAACATCTATCGTTTCATTTTATGCTATCGTTTGTTTCGTGGTGTGGCAAAATAAACTGTTTACGGTAATATTTTTTCATCATTTTGATGTCACTGTAGTGGCTATATTAATTTCTTAAAGTTCTCTCTTTCTCTTATATGTAATATAACCACACTACTGACGGACAAGCGCCTGTTTTTATGTGTTGTTGTTGGCGACAACGACGGTAACACCATCGCGTGTCCGCTTGTTTATGTTCCACATAAACCTTTCGCAATAAAGCTCAAGATCCTGTTGAGACTTTTCAAAATAAACTGAATCACGTGAAGATTATTTACCGGATTAGAAGTAAAAAAGAGCCGCCAGGTGCTAAAAGATAAACCTTAGACTCAAACGTTAGAACAGGCTTTTACCCGCAGCACGCCATGTAATAAATACAAAGAAAATGGCGGCCGTTACAACTTATGTCTAAAAATGTATAGTTTCATGCATCGGTTAAAACAGTCGACTCCAGGTAAAGGACGCGCAGCTGGAAACACTTCACGCAAGTCGAGCTGCCCGAGATTCACAGAATTTACAGAAAATGTTAAATTTTTGTGATTTATATCGTTATCGGGACGATAGAATTCTTATATCGGGATATGAGATTTTAGTCATATCGCACAGCCCTAGCGTTCAGTGAGCTGTTGAGATAGCACAATGAAAAATGGGATTGTGTTGAGTGTATGCGTGAATGTAAGGGAGAAAGGAAGAACAATGAAGCAGGAAAAGGAACAAGGAAGCTAAAATAATTTCCCCCAGGGATCAATAAAGTATTCTGATTCTGATTCTGGAAAAAAAAAATACAGTTGGAGGAGCAGTAATGCAAGATCTGTATGTTTGCCCAAACCCCTTTATATGATTCCTGTTCCGTTGCTGCCATAGAGACATTACTGCACCATCAGACTGTCTCGTTGAAGCCTCTCCTGTCTTTGTGATTGACAGCTCCCTCCCACTGCCAGTGGGCAACACAGTGGGAGACAGGCCTTCCATTAGTCTTCTGTTAGGAGAGTTATGATTCATTCATATATTCAGACTTTGATTCATATCCATGCTTGTGTAGGCACTTTTTATATTTAGTGTTTTGTTCAGTTGTGGTAGATAACACACATTTATCAACATTGGGATTTTAACTAATGATTTTTCATCATATTGATTATTATTGTGCTAATTGTTTCACTAAACCAGATATAATGTCAGTCTTATGTATGTATGTGGAAAAATGCGTTATTCCCTTCACTGGATATGACACATGCATTGATGTCCATTGCACTTGGTAAAGCCTAAAAGCATGCACACAGTCACTGCCTGTGTCCTAGCTCATGCCTTTAATAGTTTCCAGGAGCTGTCACTAAAGCTGAGCCAAAGCAAATGGAGACTGAAATGAAGTACTTAGTTTCCCCTGAGCCCTTAGGCTAGCTATCTAGCTAGTTTGGAACCACACTCCCACTAAAAGGAGATCTTCGTTAGAAGAACTCGTGCTTTATTTTGTCTGTTGGCCCTCATGTTTTATTCCTTTTGCTCCTTTAAATCCTTTCCTCTTTTTTTCCCCTTGACTCATTTGTTGTTTTTAAGCCAACCTTTTTATGCTAACCTTCGTTCTTCTTGTTCACACTCACTTCATCTCCCCCTCTGTCCCTTTCCTTTTTGTACTCAAGTAGTCCTCCTCTTTCACCTTCTACATTTTAGTTTCTGATCATGAGGGAAAGTGTTTATCACAAGTTCCTGGAATGATTTTTTTGTATGCAGTGATGCTTGTAGATGGAAATGGTTTTTTTTTTTATGTTCTCTGAGTGCACTTTGGCCCTGACTTACAAATGGCTCATAAGGAAGGTACTACAAGTTAATGTGTGCATTTGAACATGCTTGAAATCCCCTGAAATTAAAAAAAAAAAGTAACAGTAATATTGCATTACCATTTAAGTTCATTTAAAGTTTAAAAATGAACAAAACAAACAATTTACAGTGTGGGGCCAAGATGTTTCTGAATAACTCTTGATGTCCAAAGTCTGCAATGCAGATCATACCAGTTTATAATGTGTAGAAGTATTCCTTAATTGTGCTCTTCTTTTTTTCTTTTTTACTCATCATTCTTTCCCCTTCTTGTTGAACAGCTGAGAGAAGCTAGCAACAGAAGAAAGAGAACCATTTGATGGAAGAAAAGAAAAAGAAAAAACAAGAAGAAAAGACCAAGAAGGAAATTGCTCAGAAAAAGGTGAATGTAAAACCCCTATTAAGGCTTTGCAGACATGTGAGTGCTAATCAAGTGATGCTGACTTTTCCACCATTTTTGGACATGTGACAATCATTGTGATGGTCAAGTTAATAACCGGCAAGTCAGACAGGCCTTTGGACCAGTCAGTGACCCCCTGTCACTAGGGAAACAGGTATTCCCCAACCTCTTGGTAAAAACCTCCTTGTGGTTGCTAGCATATTGCTGCAGTCTTGTTTTGAGTGGAAGTGGCAGCCTTGTAGCCTGACCAGCTACTCTCTGAGCTGTGCTGAAACCGTAAAAGTGTGATGCACAATGGAAATTTACAGTTTGCCCTCACAATAAAAGTTGCACACTTTGAAACATGTTGGCTGCAACGCCGAAGTACAGCTTTTACTGTGAAGATGAACCCTCTCCATTTCTGGTATATAAAGTACTTCCACTTCTAGCTGGCAAGTATTTGCAGACGAACATGAAAAACTCTAGGCAACCGTGGCCATCTGTGAGCAACCAAAGTACCACCTTAGTTATGACTGATTTCACCAAGCAACAGCCCAAACATCCAGCGACCTAACAAACAGTGATTGTATCATGTCCGATATGTCTCGCACAGTGTGCGCATGACGTCACGTGAGAAACCTCAGTGCTATCCATTACACACACTTTTCTGTTATTAAAATAGATAGGATACTAGCCTTCACTTAAGTTGCCCCTGTGCATGGAGTGGTTTTATTGTAAGTGCTTAATGGTAATAAAATAAATGCAATCAGCCTTGGTTGATTTGTTGAAATGTAGGCAGCAAATTTCCATTAAAGGACCAAATGACTACTTCTGTTCACTGATGTCTTGAAACGATAGGCTCACTTTATTCGGTAGCACTAGTCGTTTGATTTATTTGTGAACATCATACTTAAACTATTCATTTCCTAAATCAGTTTCTCTTCTCCTCTGCAGGCTGCTGATCAGAAACCCAAAGGTGAGTGTCATGAGCAGACAAACTACACCCTCTCATGTACTTCATTTTCTAACACTACATTCCAGCCACTGATGTACATTAATCAGCTCTGATTAATACATAAAGGCACACACATTATTTATGCATTATACACACGTAGCATTTAGCATTCTTGTACACAGATGGACACACACATTTTGCACATGCATGCACAATTGTGCTGTTTGACTCGGCACACACACATGCAGACGCTCATTAGAGCAAATACAGGGGCGTTTTAATGCAGAGTGACGCTCAGTATGCCAGGAGCACCAGGCAGTGAGGCGTGAGGGGACCCAGACAGCTCACTGAGTGTGCTGTAGGTAAAGCGATGGGGGGATGGGCTATAGAAAGAAGGGAGAGGATGAGTGGGATAAAAGAAGCAAATGGTGTTCAGCTGAAATGCAAAACTAAAGGAACAGTGTCCTCATATCCCCTCTGCAATATCTTAAGATGTTAAAATAGTTTCTCAGCATTCTTGTTCCTGTAACAAGTTTGTAATTTGGATTGTTTAAGTAAGACATGTATAACGATCTGTACAGCCAATAGATTTGCATGCTTTTGTTTTATAAATAGATTTCTAAATAGAGTTCTACTTTAATGCAGTAGCTTACATCCACATGCATACCGGTATAAAATGAAATATGGAAGCGTTGTGTCCCAGCTGTCTGCATTAAAAGGAAAGAACAATTGTTAGTTAAGAACATCTAAAATGCTCCATTGCCTCCATAATTTGCGATCTGCTTTCAAACCTGAATTTTCATACATCATGGACGAGGATAATTATCATGCACACCCTCCCGCTTTGTTGTCACTTAGCAACACAGTGAGGTTATTCCTGTGTTGACACTTAAAAAAATGCTGTTAATGCTAAATACCTAAACTAAAGGTTTCTGTTAATGCATGGTAGCGTTGGATTGAAGATGGCAGAAGATTTCATCCTGTCTGGGGTTTTTTTTCTTAGTGTGTCTCTTAGCACCTGCACTTTGCCAGTTTGAGCAGCAGTTTGGCCATCTGGGTGAAACTGTGAGGCTTTAACAAAGGTCACCACAGCTTGCCTTGGACTCTGACCTGCCTATTTAATTACCCTCCCTGTGTTTCACTGCACTGCCTGTGAGTTTGACCTATTAACCAAGTTTCAAAGCTGCCTACGAAGCTGAATGCATCCAATTTCAATAAGCATTTAATGCCACTGTTCTTCCGCTTCAGTGAGAGATTAAAATATCAGACTCCTCTAGGGCTACAATTCAATTCAACATTTGTATGACTTCTGCTTGCATAGTACTCAGATGGGGGCTTGTCACAAATATTAACAAAGAACATCAGGAGTGAAGAGGCACATTTTATAGTGGGTTTTCTTTTTTGTACACAGGACATATTCACTGAGATCTTTTCCAGAAACAGTTTGTACTAATATACGTTACTTTCACACATGTATGCTGGCATTTACAACAGAAAATGTATGTTTTGGTCACTGATGACGCATTAAAGGCAAGCAGGACTGCTGCACGTTTATTTGTTTTCTCAAACTTTACCAATGACCCGCATAATGCATTAGACAAGGAGCATGGAAAAGATTATGTTGATGTTAGGCTGTAGCTGTCCACCTAACCACAGGATGTGGCCAACAATACGTGTCACATGCTGTTTTGTGTTGTGAAAGCCTGCATTGTTTCTTTGTGCATCTTCCTGTTTGTCTTCAGAGATCTTGTATTTAAATATGAGGCAATACCTTTTGACCAGTAATGTGTTTTGGCCCTGCAAATCTGCAGCTGTTCCTATTTATTTATTTTTTATTTTTTAAACCAAACCTTCCAATTTAGTGCACTGAAAGTAATTCGATGCATTATATACATGAGCAGAAATGTGCTATAGCCACCGGTGGTGCTCTGAAAAGCATGTTTTACAGCCATCTTCACTGTGCTGTTCAGTTCAGGAGCCCTTTTTACTAACTTGCTTTAAAATGTAGGCACTATATATAAAGCACATCCTGCTACACTGATGTTTCCATTGTTAGATTTGAAAGCCAGTGTGCCAAATAAATGTCTAAATAATGAAAAGCATAGCACAGTCTTCATATTTTCTTGCTGCGCTGTATGAACTGTGTATGTTGGATGTGTGATGCAGCAATTGAAATGCCAAGAAGGGAAGGGGGAAAAACTCATTTTAGGAGAGAAACCCATGGATTAGGGCACAGTTACGAAGGGAAAAAAGGGAGCGAGAGAGAAGAAATAGGAAGTGTAACGAGCTGTTTTGGTTCCACATAAAAGCAAAAATGAAGAAAGGAAAAGAGGAAGGGAAGTAATGAAGCAGCGAGCAGCAGACAAGTGCCAAAAATGACCGTCAAGAGTCAATGACGACACTAATATAGCAGAGGACTAATGACATGGAGATTTATTTTATGGTGTGTTTAATGAGAGATAGAGAGGGAAAAGGACATGGGATGAGAAACTGATTGCGTTTATGTAGTGGGTAGTCATGCAAACAGACAGATAAAGAAAGTAGGTGAAAGAAGACTAATCGAGAAATCAGGACTTCTGTGAGTTTGCTTATAACCTCCCATCTGCAATAGCTTTTAAAAGGAACGTGGTATCGACTAGAATGAGATGGGTTTTCATGCATGACACTAAATAATAGAGGTGTAAGTGTGTGTGTGTCTGCTCGCGTGTGTGCACGCAAGACCGGGGAAATCGGTATGCGGTAGTGATTTGTGTCTTTCCATCCATATCAGTGCATTCTGTCTTCCTTATACACTTTCAGAAATTCATAGTCACATACACACTACCACTCCCCACCCTCTCTGCCTTTTGCTGCTTTCCTCTCTGCAGGCCTCCCTGGTCCCAGGCATTTCAATTTGTTTGCGGTAATCGATCTCGGCCTGGCGCGTTCATATGTATGAAAATGAGATAAAGCTTCGGCGCACTGGAATTAACTTCTCTGCCCCCTATTAGGCATGGAGCTTCACAGAATGCAAGGTTCCAGGAGGCAGTGTCCCATTGCCCCAACCCACCCCCACTCCCTCCTACACACACACACGCACAGACAGGCTGGACCTCTGCCTATACAGAGCCTTTCCATCCTCCCCCCTCTTGGTCCCCCAGTACCTCAGAGACGCTGATTATTCACCCCCAGCACAAATGCACCTTCATCACAATCTTTGCTCCTGCTGCAATCGCAATCAGTCGATTTGACTGCTACACATATCTACTAACCTTGACAAAAGCATGTGCACATACACAGAGACACAGGGTACGTAGTGAGTTTGATACCCACAGCCATCAAAACGTGCTCATTGCAGCGACTTGGAGCCTTTCAATATGTTTTCAGTGAAGGAAGCTTACATTGTTTAACTGCAAAACTGCCAAGATAATAATGTCCTTGCCAAGATTGCTCTTAGCATGCACAAACACATGTGTGGACATACAAATATGATTGAATTTGTAAGAAAACATGGCCCAAACAGGAAGTTAGACAAACGGAACTCAAAAATACAAAACAAAAAAAATTAGAAAACTACATTTAGAAACAAAAAGCCACAAGTAACACCACGCTGTGTCTCTTACATTCCTACTCTCCGATAATCAGACAATCTGCAGTCTCTGTTTCTCCTGCTTGTGTGCTTTTCCCTGATGAAAGGTTGGAAATTTAATGTGCTGTCTGTCAGTACCTCGTTCCTCACTCTCCTCTTTGACCATGCTGTTACTTCCGCCTGTTTCATTACCCTCTACGTGTCCCAGCGACCGCATCCGAGGAGAAACATATTTACACGGTGTCACCATGGTGGTAACAGCATTATGTTTTCAAAGTGGCAACAGACACACATAAACACAAGTGTGTCCTTTTAATACCGCATTGGATTCATTCGCAATTTCACATGCTATTAATTGCGTCAACACAGCTCAAATGGAATTTCATGAATTGCAATCTAATTAGAGGCTAATTTACTTTAACATTTGGGCTGCTTTTTTTCCGCTGTTAAACACATTTCTAAACACTGAATGAATTAATAGTGAATAGCTTGTGAATTACGTCCTGTGGATTTATGACTGCCAAGCATAATTGTTTTTCCTTTACCCCCTGTGTGCTCACCCCACATGAATGTCAAGTGTTAGGGGAAAGTGAGGGATGTAGGAATGGACCAAGGGAAGCGATAAAGGAAAACAAGGGGGACGCTCAGACTTAAACAATGCTCTCCTCCCTCCGTATTCATGTTGTATGATCACTCACAAGCTGCTGACAAGAGAGCCTCACACACCTCCCCCATCACCTTGTTCTCCCCCACCAGAGAGCTGCTTTATGTCAAATACCAGGCAGATTAATAGGATGTAGCGAGAAGGATATGAATGACACTTAAGCCTGTTTTTGAAGCGCGAGGTCTATGCCAATTCGTTTGTTTAATGTTGTAAAACTGTCTGGTCTCCCCCTCATATGGCAGCTTGCTCCCCCAAAAAAGGTGATCTTGTCCATATGCCAAATTATACTTGTAGCTGACTTACAGTTCAAGTTCAATGATGTCCATAATCACCGTGACCCATAGGTTTGGGAAGCCCAGTTTTAAGTCCTCAGCCTTTTGGCCCTCCCATTTTGTTTTTTTGAAGAAAAAGTGACCTTCAGCAGCCAATACTTCATCCAAAGACTTTATGGGTGCCTCCCATGTATGCAGAATTAATAATTAAGGGTTCTGTACTTGATTGTTTAGATAGTTGGGCATAGACGTCTATGGGGATTGACTTGTTTTTCACCCATGTAAGTGGTCTTTTGTATAAAATGTAAGGCAATAATGTCTGGGACCTGTAGTCATAAAATACCTATGTATGAAAACATTCTTTTGTAGACCCCCAATGAGTTCTGCTCAGATTGTTAAACTGATACTCAAATTGAGCTCCCTTGACTCTAATAACACTAACATTATAACTGGGGCAGACTTTGTTTCTCATTTATGTATCAGCCTTTAAAAGTTTACAAACCTTGAATCACACTAT